CAGCCGCAGCCCCAGGCAGCCGCACCCTCGCCGCGCACGAGCGCCGCGCACGCGCCCTGGCAGAGTCCCGGCGAGTACCGGCCCATCTTCCTAGCGTCTCCTGCGAGCGTTGCCGCCGCAGCTCGCGGGCCGGAGGGCTTACGGAGCGGAACCGATGTTGAGCTCTAGCTGAAAGAAGCCGAGTGTGCCGGAGAAGCCCCACCGTGGGTGTCCTCTCCCCCTCATCTTCAAGACTCGTACGCGCTACGAAGAGGACAAGCATTCGGTGACCGGGAGCGGGGCTCAGACGAGCTCCCGGTTTCTCGAGTCCGGGGACTGGGATGGAGAAGGCAGAATCGTGCGGCGGTTGAGGCTCGGGCACCGCGCCCCTTTCTGCGTCGACGCGGCCTCCGCGGTGCTGACTCAGGCCCCCACCGTGTCCGGGGCCTTTGAACCGGACACCAAGAGTGGCCGGTGGATGCCAAGTTAGACAGGACTGGAGCCGCCTGCCAGGGCGTAGCTGTTAGGAGTGTGGCCTTTGAGGTTAGCGCTGGGTCGAAATCACATCCCAGCTCTGTAACCCCTTGGAGCTGGGGTTGCCCTTTTGGTAAAATGGGGAGAGTAGTTCCAGATTCAGAGTCCGGTCCAGCTTGAAGCTGAGCATGGGAGATGATGATCCGGTGTTTAAGACGCAGCCCGGAGACTGAAAGCAGCCTCTCCCTCGGCTTCGGTTTCGCACCACCTACAGAGAACGCATCTGAAAATCGTGTGGTTAGGAGGACCTGGGCCGACGGAAGTTAAACGGTATTCGGTTTATCATCAACCCCAGGTTTTTCCAGCTGCGGAGTGAGTTCCCACCTGCCCTACAGTTAAAGTCTGAAACTGAAAGTAGGATGCTCCCACTACCATCTTTACTTTACAGAGATTTTAAAGCTCCTTATTACCTGTTTCTTAAACCCTGTTCCTTTCCAGTCAAGTACTTGTTGAGTATTTCTGCTTGTTTTATCAAACTTCCTTTTCTTTTGACTTTATAAAAAGCAATGCTCATGGTTTTAAAAAATGTACAATTTTTGCCACAAAGAAATGATAAATGCATGAGGTGATGGTTACATTTACCCTGACCCGATCATTATACAGCATATATATATATATATATATACAGCATATATATATATATATACAGCATATATATATATATATATATATATATATCAGATTGGGGCTTGCCAGTTAGCTCAGTTGGTTAGAGCACAGTGTTATAACACCAAGGTCAAGGGTTCGGATCCCCTTACCGGTTAGTTGTCAAAAATAAAATAATTTTTTTAAATGTACTGAAGCTGACTGAAAAGTGCAAGCTACTATTTTTTCTTCTGAACCACTCCTCACAGTTAACTCCTGTTAATAAGTTTCTTGGATACCTTAAAATTTTTAACAAATATTTGTTGAATGAATGAATGCCCTTCAGTGAATTTTCTATGCCTATACAAACACACATGCGTGTCTTGCTTTTGTCATTTAAAAGCTGCAGTGGTAAGGTACTCCTTCAGATGACTGTACTATAATTTAACCACTCTGTTGATAGACATTCGTGTTGTTTGTAATTTTTTGTTGTAAACAATGTTGCAGGCTGGAGCCTTGAACAGCAAATGGAGTGCCTGACTGAAGTCTTGAGTTGTTTTTCCAGGAGCTGAGAATCAGTGTGGTGATATCCAAAGAACCTGCCTGGGCTTGGAATCTGAAGGTATTTGCTGGGGAGAGGAGCTGCTCATGTGTTCTAGATTGAAAAGTCTTCCTTGGTCTGGGAAGGTGTACCATTGAAATTTTAGGAAATAGAGGTGAAGAAGGAAGCCTCAGTGTAGCCACATGGCAAGCACAGCCAGTCTTGACTTGCCAATGAGGCAGTAGATCACTCTAGATCATCTTCACAACCCTCTCTGGTGTCAGAAAGACTTTGGTTCGAATGCTAGCTTGGAAATCCTGGCTCCATCCCTTATAAGTTTTGTGATTCCGTGTAAGTCCTGGCCCACTGTTTCAGAGCCCTAGTTTCCTCACAGAATAGTTGTGAGGATTAGAGATATGTTTGTAAATTACCTGGCATATACAGGCATGTGACAAACAGTAACTACTATTGTTAGTCAAGGTTTTGTACTGACCCATTCATACTTATAGCCATTTCCTATTATAGACTCTATATACATTTCCAAGGCATCCTCCTGATATTAGGGCTGCAGGATATTTTCAGGAAGTAAAGCAAAATTGGCCATTAAGATCTGATTCCTGACTTTGCCTGGATGTGTCATCTAGAAAGCAATAGGCATTAATTCCTTAATTTATTCAGTAACTACTTAATGAGTGCTTACTATTTATTATGTGTCATGGATTGTAGAGGATAGTCAATCCTCTGTATCTGTGGGTTCTGCATCTGAGGATTCAACCAACCAAGGATCGAAAATATTCAGGGAAAATAAATAGAAATTTTAAAAAATACAGTATAGCAACTGTTTACGTAGATACTCATTGTATACGGGAGGATGTGTGTAGGTTATATGCAAATACTACACTATTTTATATAAGAGACTTGAACATCTGCCAATTTTGGTGTCAGGGTGTATTGGGGGAATGTCCTGGAATCAATCCCCAGAGGATGCCGAGACTGTATAAGAATAGAGTCTTTACCTGCAGGAGTTTAATCTCATCAGAGTTAAGACATGCTCATGAGGAATTTAAAATAGACAATGCATTAGATAGAATAGCAGTCAAATAAGCTGTCTATCACTGTGAGCTAGAATGATTGGGAAAAGATTTCATCATAAAGATTTCATGATGACACTGGAATATGAGAGAGCCTTAAGTGTCGGGTGTATTTAGACAGCTGCTGTCACAGCCTGTGAGAACCATCAATTTTGGCTTGGAGGAGGAATTCCCTACAGACCAGGTTATGTGCCTGGCATCCCAAGATGAAACTGAGCACATTTTCCTCTAGAAACATTGTTTTACATTTATTTAAATTACAGTTCAATGATGAGCTATGTTAAGGTGTTCCTCCGTCTGTCTCTCTCCACATATATATACTGTATGTAAACTTTTGTGACCTGAGGTATCAGTATGTACCATGGACAGAAAACTTTGTTCCTCTGTTCTAAACAGCCAACTTACAGATGAGCCTTTGTAACACCACCTGCTTGTACATTAGAAACTGCAATGGGAAGGCACTGAAAGTTTTTGAGCAGAAGAGCAATATCAAAATGAAATATTTTAGCAAATAATCTGGCACGAATATGCAGGATAGGTTTCAGCTGCAGAGCTTTAAGGAAGGTTATTGCTGAAGCCCAGGTGTGAGGTATCAGCAGGAAGGAACAGATGCAAAAGACAATATGCAAACATTTTCAGACAAAGCAGCATTTTAAAATATATATATCAGCATTTTAAAATGTATATATAAAATATATACAATTTACCTGGCAACTGTATTCATTCACTAAGTCAATAAATATTTGCATGCTTACTAGGTGTCAGGCACTGTGCTGGGCTCTGAGGATATAACATGAGCAAAACAAAGTCTTTATCCTCATCGAGCTTACACTATAGTAGGGGAAGACAAGTCATTCATTCATTCAACAAATATTTGAGGGGGCTGGCCAGTTAGCTCACTTGGAAGAGCATGGTGATGACAACACTAAGGTCAAGAGTTCAGATCTCCGTACTGGCCAGCTGCCAAAAAAACCCCAAAAACAAGTATTTGAGGGCCTACTATATGCCAGGCACTGATCTTGGAGCTGGGGATTTAGCACTAAATACAATTTTTTAATTCCTGCTTTCCTGGAGCTTACATTGTAGTAGAGAATATATGCAACAAATATGTCTACAGAGGAAAACTGAAGCAGAGTAAGGGGGACAGGAAGTATGCAGACATTTACAGGAACAGATAGTGAAGCCATGGAGGCAGCAGTATCTTCAAGAAAATTGGCAGTGAATGAAAAGAGAGATGGCTTGTGCTGTGGGGCTGAATGAAGTATTTTTCAGGATAGCAGAGGTAGAGGATTAGCAGCCAGTGAATAGTAAGGATTGACTATTTAGGGAGAAGATAAGCTAAGGGCGCTTCAAACAGGTCAACTTTGGCAAGGAAGGAGAGCAGGGAAATGAGGTCCACCTATGGGGAGGCCAAGTGGGTAAAGGAGAGGGGAACTCAAGCCCAGAGACTTGGAGACAGAGGCAGCAGCACCCTAAAGAGCAGAAGTGGCAGGGCTGAGGTCAGAGCAGTGTAGTCCTGGAGGGACCTGTGAAATCCAGATTTTAGACAGTTCAGCAATGTGGATTCTAAAGTTGACAAGTGCTAGTAGCAAGGGAGGGGACACATGCTGCAATCATGCAAGAAGGTAGCGGTGGGTGGTGAATCAGAATTCAGAGAAGGCAGGTAAACTGAATGACAGACACCTTAAGTAAGGAGCAAGATGGGGTGCCATTCAACATACTGATCCAAGATGGAAGGAATAAAGGAAATTGCATCTGCTTTCTCCCTTTGATGGAAGTGGAAATTGGCCCTTTATCCCATACCTGCAAGCCCGATGCCATACCAAGAGACTTGGCAGCGGGCCTTGCCCTGTCCTCACATGGCCCCCAGAAATCAAGTGAACATAAGTTACATGACTGCAGGGACAATGTCTTGTTCATCTTTGTATCCTCTGGGACCTAGCCCATGGTAGGAACTTGGGTGTCTGTGGAACTAAAGTGAAGCCACACGTAGAATTTAGAGTTGGAAGGAATGTCAGAAATAATCTAGTTGAACCCTCTCGAGTTTGCTTTCAGTCAGGTGTGGGCCAAATTTGGGGTGTGTCTAATTCAAGGTCAACCTCCCCCTCCCCTGACCTCCAAACCATGAAGTAGGATTTTTCTCTCTCATCTTTTGGATGAGATGGGTGGTTTTCCAAGTGTAGTCTGGGTACCCCCGGGCTCCCTAAGACTCTTCAAAGGATCTGTGAAGTCAAAACATTTTCATAATACTGAGATGTTATTTTGCCATCTTCAGTCTCATTCATGTGAGTGTACAGTGTTTTCCAGAGCCTGCATGACACGTGATATCACAACAGATTGAATGCAAAAGCAGACGTAAGAATCCAGATGATAGACTTGCAAAAATATGTCAGATGCCATAGTCCTCACTAACATGGTTTTTGTTTTAGAAAAGTTATATCCACTGTGGGTTATTTATGTTAATATGTAATGAGTTATTGTTTTTAAAAGAATTATTAAATACTTTTAAAGTTGACCAGTTTATTTATTTTTTTCCTTTTTAAAGTTGACTAGTTTTGATCTCTAAGATAGTATCACTAGTTAAGATACACATAAGCAAAAGCTTTTTGAGGGCCTCAAAAATTTTTCAAAATAAAGGGGTCCTGAGGCCATAATGTTTGAGAAATGTTGGATTAGATCCTGCTGCACCCCAGCTTCCCACCCTTCTTTGTGGGAATCTAAGTGGTGAGAAAGACTAATATAGCTACATGCACAGCATTCTCTTTTGTGGGACTGAGAGGCATAGCTCTGAGGGACTTACACACACACACTGTCACCGTGACTAAGCTGCCATCTCACTATAGAAACTGCTCTCGGAAGAGCCCCAGAAAGGCACTGGAGTATTCCATTCAGGCACATTCAGGAAGGTCTCACCCACAAACCCTACTGGGTAATAATCCTTGGACCAGTTTTTCCAGTTTCCAGTACTTTATTAACATCAACACTCCCCTTCCACTAGGCAGGCAGCAGGAACCCTCCTACCAACTGACAGCCAGCTCTGAACCACCCAGTGAAATTACTGGGCCCAACTGCTTCTAAAAGGTGAAACCCAGTCACTCTGCACAGCCATATGCTAAGAACTTGAATAGTCTCTTGACAAATTCACCTTCTAAGTTATTTTTATAGAATGGCCCTGGGGCTTGGTGACCAGAAAATCAAGAAATAGGGATTTTTCCCATTTCTGCTGCCAATTGGTTACATGACCTTAGAGACATTCCTTTCCATCTGTGCCTCAACTTTACTCTTCATAAAATAAGGACTGTGTCCCACTGGCCCCTCCCACAACTGTGTCAGAAGCCCCAATCTAATGATGATGGTAAAGTTCCCTCCTTCCCATGCACAGTGGAGACCCATGTGTGCCAACATCTCTCGGTGTTTTGGACAGCCAAACATAGTCATCATATTATCTTTTTTAAAAATCTGATTTTAAGTTAGGAGCTTGTTGAACTACAGGCTCAAGAAGTTGGTGATACACCTGCAATGTCTGGGTCCAGCAATTAATTCCCACATGTGAAAGCACTGTAATGTGACACACCTTATGTAGTAATAGTCGCCTCTTTTTCCTGAAATCCCTCATTTTACACCATCCACATATCAAGAACCTCCTGTGTGCCTGGCCTTGTGCAGACTGCATTATGTCATTCGATCCAAACAACAACCCTGTGAGACCATTCTGTCTCTACACAGATGAGGAAATGCTCTCAGAGAGGTTAAGCAACATGCTCTAGGTTACACAGCTTAATGTTAAGCAGTAAAGTTAGAGTTCAAACCTGACTTTGAAGTCCCTGTGGCTCCACTATCCCACATTGTACTAGACCTTTAAAGCAATATCTACATTTTCTTCAAAAATATTTTAGAGGGCCGGCCCCGTGGCGCACTCGGGAGAGTGTGGTGCTGGGAGCGCAGCGACGCTCCCGCTGCGGGTTTGGATCCTATATAGGAATGGCCGGTGCACTCACTGGCTGAGCGTGGTGTGGGCAACACCAAGCCAAGGGTTGCGATCCCCTTACCGGTCACGAAAAAGACAAAAAAAAAATATTTTAGAACCTAGACCTTTAAGTTAGACTGGTACCTTTCCTTATTGTTCTAATTTAGAAGGGCTTGAAGCAATTTAAGACACATCCACACAGGACCATACTTAGAAGAAAAACATTCCTGATAGTAATCTTGTTTCAAAATCTACTCTCAGTAAAATAAGCTGGCTCCAAATTCCCTTATCTAAAATTGTGCCAATCCGGGGCCAGCCCGGTGGCGCACTGCTACAGTGCGCTGCCTGGGAGCGCGCCGGCACTCCCTCCGAGGGTTCGGATCCCACATACAGACCGGCCGCTCACTGGCTGAGCGAGGTGCGGGGGCAACACCGAGGGTTGCGATCCCGTTGCCGGTCCCGGTCCGGTACGGGCGCGACACTGAGGGTTGCGATCCGTTGCCGGTCACGAAAAAAGACAAAAAGGAAAAAAAAATAAAATAAAATAAAATTGTGCCAATCCTGCAGCTTCCTGCCCTTCTCAACCCCTCTAACATCACACTGTGGGAGAAAAGGAACTTACCTATAGGCTTGCTTCCTTCAAGGGACATGAACTATATCACACTGTCCCATATTTTAAAACCATCTTGATGCTCATGATTCCAGAGGCTCCCCAAATTAGTTGAAGGGTTGGGAAGGCTCAGTTTAGACAGTTTTCTCTGGATTAGCTAAGAGCACACCACTTCATTACTCACTTTAAGACACCCGGAAGGGAAAGATAGGACAGTCTCCTTTCTGGTGCATCACTGAAAGTCTTTGAGAATAATCTATCTTCTCTAAAGACTTTCCCTATCAGCATCCTGTAAATGAGGTGAGGTATTAATCCCCTCAGCCTGCAGAGCAGCTGGGTAGGGCCTGGGGTGGGTGGAGCCCCTGGGCCAGTCATCTGGAGCTGGCTCATCCATTTACATAATGTGCTGTACACATGTATTTTCATTTCCTGTGTGTGCCAGGGTGGGAAAGGTCAGGAGGCACTGCTCTAAAGAATGAGAAATGCTGATGCCTAACTAGCCAGCACAGGAGAGGTAAGAGAAGGGCTAAAACTATCAGCTCTGGGGGTAGATTGCCACTTATTAGCCATATGACCCTGGGTGAGTGACTTCTCTGTGCCTCAAATTTCTTTATCTGGAAAGTAGTAACAAGAGAACCTACTTCATAGGACTGTTGGGAGGATTAAATGAAATGATGCCAAATGTCACGTTATGGTTACCATTAACCCCAAAAGATTAACTTTGAGAACAGATTTTTAGAGATTCTATTCCAAATTCTTCATTTTACAGATGAAGAAACTGGCCCAGAGAGGTTAAAAGACTTGCCTAAAACTAAACAGCTCTGCCAACCACCAGGACAAATAGCTTCTGCTTCTCTGCTGCCAAACTCCATTTCCTCCAGGAAAAATCATCTGGGCTGCTGTTTTCAAGACTGCTATGACTCTGGGCTGACAAGAAGGACCTTTTTGCCTGTTCCACCATCATGTGTGTCAGCCCTTCATGGCTCACTTCCTGGGAGCTCACACCCTCCTTACAGACTCAGAGAATGCAATTCAACATGTTCTGGAAGCCTTTGAGTCATCTCTGTCTGAGAATCAACCTCCATCCATCTATTCTGAACACACAGATCTCATCCTCCTCCGGTTTCTGGAACTGAAACCTGGTGTTTTTCCTTTGGATTTTGCTTAAAGAGTGTCTTCCACCTCTAAGTATGTCAGGTTCCCCTTCCAATTGCAGACTGGGGACTGAAATCCAGAGGTGGATATAAGCATCCAATCTAAGCCCCTGGAAGAAATACTGAAGACTAGCTCAGGGGCTCAACAGAGGTTTCCCAGACCATGCCCCCCAACAACACAAATTTTTCCTGTAGCTCATCATGGCTGGAAGATAGAGGTGAACACACATGCACAGATTACCTGGACATATGTCCTATGCAGCTAGGAGGACGCTGACGATTATCTGAATCCCAGAAACAGAGAACAGTTGTCATGGCTACCAGAAGCTTTAACCACTGGCTGCTTTGGCTATGGGGACCTACTGCTGACCTCTCAAGGTCTCTCCAGCACTAGGATTCTACAATTACCTTGAGCCGGTTGAGAATATGTCTGCTGCAAGAAAATAGGAAGTCCTGTGACACAGAAGACTCAGGCATAGAAAGCATGGATTTCATCAGAAGTGTACAGTCACCTTGTCTTATTCATCAGAAGTGTGGAGTCACAAGGCTACTTTCTAACTGCTGCATTATTAATAAGCAAAGTCTTGCTTTTTTGGGTATAGGATTTTATACCTTTTACAAACAGTTTGCTACAACCACTTTTTATTTCTCTTCCTTTTACAACTCCAGCCAGTGATTTTGATAGAGGTTTGTTCCATATTGTGACCAGGGAAACAGCCCAGAAAAACCTGTGTCACTAGGCCCAGTGGGGTGTGCTCCATAAGATAGGATGCATATGTCACGAGCCTTATAAGAATCAGGAGGAAGGAAGTCATTCATAAAGGAGGCAGATGCTGAACTGCAACTCTGGTTTCCTCTTGCAAGCCCTTTGACTACAGGAATGTGGTTCTTTCTTACTCCACAGAGGGGATGGATTTATCAGGACAGAGCAGAGGAGTGCCTAATTTGACCCCTGCATCTCCACACTGGGGGAGATCAACAGGCCTGGCTGCACATCTCTCAAGACCTGATATCAGGACAAAGAAATCTGTAGGGATTAGTAAGACTCACAAAAGCAGGGAAAGGAAACGCTCAGAAATCAGAGTGCTGCCAATACTTACAAAAACAGTTCTAAACCTCTCCTTATTACTGACATAGGAAGTTTGCATCAGGACAAAGAAATCTGTAGGGATTAGTAAGACTCACGAAAGCAGGGAAAGGAAACGCTCAGAAATCAGTGTGCTGCCAATACTTACAAAAACAGTTCTAAACCTCTCCTTATTACTGACATAGGAAGTTTGACGTTTTGTGGTATTTGGAGATTTTTTAAAAATCTGATTATATCAAGATTAAATCAAAGCCTTTATTAAACATTCCTCCTTCAAATGGCCTGCATGTAAACCTATACCCCTCCCCAGGCTTGTAAACTGCCAGAGCTGTGTGAGTATCATTTTCATCTGACAGGAGTCACATCTAGTCAGGCTGCACAATATTGAAAAGCCAAGCCAAGACACACCACACTGGGCAGACCTCCACAGTTCTGTGCCCCACTTGGGATCCAGGCAAATGGTTGGTAGTGCCGGCTCTGGAACCAGAGTTCAAGCACAGGAGAAGAGGAACTCCAAGTCTGACCCTCCTTGTTCCAGGCCTCACCATGTTAAGCTGGTTTACAGCTGCTGGACGGCCATTCACCAATGCTTACACATGTGCTTTTTCCTCTCTTCTCCAAAGAAAATGGTAAGAGATGGAGAAGGCAATTTTCAGTT